GTGGAAGCGGAAATAGCTTGTATTGTGCACGGGTAACAACGGGTTCCCCGCAGCATTAGAGTTTTTGAAGGGTATTTTGGCGGTTGCGAGTTTGTTGTTCGAGATGGGGGGCGTGGGATGTGAGCGCCAGGCTTGTGTTTTTTGGTGCACCCACAAGATATCACATGGAAAGTGCTTTCTCCCGCTCGTGTCATAGGATTCAGATGTGTAGACGAAAACAAAGAGGAGAATGGTTCCTTCTAGAAGGCACGGAGAGATGAAACTCCCCGCGGAAGGATACAACAGCGGACAGGATCTAGTAGCACCTGCTTGAGTACAGGATCCTGGGCTCTTTGGTGTCATTCCCAACGATTACCCTAGGCAATAAGCTACTGCTGCTGTTGTTCTGCGAGAGTAGTAACAAGCGAGTTATTCACGGTTCCACCAGATTTCACCACGCGTGCATGCCACTAAATCCGGCCGTTGGGAACCGCTTGAGGGGGGACGCAGCTCGTGTGTGTGATCTCATCATCAGCGAGAGCGAAGATGGGTGGTTGGGTAGGTGGTGGGGCGGGTTCGTGCCACCTGATGGAGGTGACGGGGGCGACGGCAATTGAGTAAACAGGAGAGAAGGGGTGGGGGGGTGCCGCTTCTTCTTTCGGCCACCGGACACGGTCGGTTTCATTCTCCACTGCTGGTTACAGTTTCCGTCGCTGTTGTGTCGAGGCTGGTTATTTTTTGTGCGGGGGGCGAGTTTCGTCGCCCTCTTGGGCACATCTAGCACTCTTTACGTATGGCACGAATGCTAAGAAAAACATGTTGAAATCAAAATCAAACAGCGGGGACCACCACGCCCCCCCCCGGGACGTGAACCAACGGAGTTGAAGTCCTTGGTTTACACGCAAGACACACGTCCACAGAGAGAGTTGGAATGTAGGAGCTCTCAGGTGCAGATTCTGGGCGAAGAAAATTCCAACGATATGTACCTAGCAGCAGTACAGCCTACCGTATACTTGTGTCGTGGGTATACGTTTCATTCTACAGTCGACCAGCGACCAGCGGACAATGGCGCAAGCGGACATAGCACACCAAGGCATGTGTCGCACAACGGGACCGTTTGGCCATGCTCATGCTGGTACCTTGTATCATACGGTCAAACACCGCTGGCACGACCCTTGGCACGGCAGTCGACCTCAATCGGTGGTCCCGCAGACAACCCCAATCGGTGGTCCCGCACAGCACGCTGGCCAGTTTCATCGTGTTGGCGCAGACCAAATTGGTGAGTTTTGAGCGATAGGGTATATATAATCAGAGGTGAGCACCGGCGTCAACATCAGACCCTGAAAATGTTTGGCTGGCACAGAGTGTTTCAGTCTTACAGCAATGTCTGTCCCTCATTCTTTCCCCAAGCTCAAACCAAAAACAGCAGGGGGGGTATCCAAACAACCCCCCCACCCCCACCACACCACCACACACTACCACACCACCAAAACCGGAAAATCCGGAACCGCGACATTGCCATATCCTATAGACTATCCACCCTCGCCGCACGACACGTGTCCATGCACATACATACTTACACATGTTGTTGGCCAATTGGCCACCGGGTGTGCGTTGAAGACATGGCCGTGCTGTAACGATCCCAAGCAGTAGTCCATCTCGACAGCATGGAAGAAGTTCGGCACGATCCACGATCCATGACCCGACGACGACGGGTAAATATTCCTCTGCGTTCATTTGCGATTCGGGGCATCTATCACATCATCCCACTGCGCACCAACATGGCATCACCGCAAGCCAAACCGACGTGTCTGGTGTGTGGTCGCTTGTCTGTGACATGCCAGTGTGGTGGCGGTCTCAAACAACATGCCCTCAGCAACAGCAGAAGAAGAAAAGGGGTGGACGGAACCACCACGGATCGGATGGATCCGACAGGTAAACGTTTCGTTCTACAGCCTACCAGTGACCAGCTGACCATGGCGCTGACCATGGCGCAGGCGGACATAGCATAACAAGGCATGTATCGCACAACGGGGCCGTTTGGCCATGCTCATGCTCGGGTACACCACAGTCTGGTTGATTGCTGCTATCCATGGTACATTGTATCGTACGGTCGAACACCGCTGCTATACTGCTGGCATGACCGTTGGCACGGCACCAACGGCAGTCGACCTCAATCGGTGGTCCCGCAGTCGACCCCAATCGGTGTGGTTGACCGTTACAAGTACGGCCATGTCTTCAATGCACACCCGTTGACCAATTGGCATAAACACGTGTCCTGTGGGGACGTGGATATCGGATACGGTATTGTCACGGTTCCGTTATTGGTGGTGAGGTGTTGCGGTGTTGTGGTGGGGGGGTTGGATACCCCCCCGGGTGTTTGTTGTTTGTTTGGGGAAAGGATGAGAGCCAACGATGGTGCCGTGCCAATGAATGGTGTGGTCGATCTTGCAACGTACAACGGCGTACAGCAATCACCCAGCCAGGCTGTACTGATGTGCCCGAGCATCAGCGTGGCCAAACGGTCCCGAATGCGATACATGCCTTGTTATGCGTCTGCGTCACGGTCCGCTGGTCTGCTGCAGAATGAAACGTAAACGTATACCCGTCGGATCTATCCGTGGATCCGTCCACCCCTCCACTTCTTCTGTTATTGTTGATGAGGGCATGTTGTTTGAGACCGTCACCACACTGGCATGTCTTCAGAACACACTCGTTTGTTACATGGCCACACGCCACACACACATACACGTACATAGTTTGGGCTAGTTTGGGCTTGCTTGCCGTGAGGTGGGTACCATGGCGATGCACGGTGGAATTACGGTCGCCCCGGATCGCGGATGAACGCGGATGAACATTTACCCGTCGTCGTCGATCATGCGGGGAACTTGGTTCATCATGCTGTCAACATAGACTACGGACTACGGACTACTGCTTGGGACCGTTTGCTTGGGACCGTTACAAGCAACAAGGTTTTCGTGTGATTGAGAGCGAAGTTTGTGATTGAGAGCGAGATTGCGCGATGCGCTGTAGCTGGACTACCGCTGAGAGGTGGAGCTTGCTGCGTGACTTGAATTGAAGGCCTAGCCCGTAGCTACAAGCCGATACCCTGGTCATCCTGTGGGCGTCTCTCGTTGTGGAGCTACAGCGGGGAGCAGAATCTACAGCAGAGCTCACCGCCCGCGATCAAATCGCCCTGAAACAGTTTGAGGCAGGAATAGCCAATCTGGGGAAATCTAGCAACTTGTCTAGCTCCTAGCTGCAGCATCCGATCGCGATGACACGCATATGCTCGTGACGCTGCTGATGAGACCTTCAATTTGCGCCGCTTCTTGGAAGAGCCCGCCCCCTACTTCCCAAGAAATGGCAAGAGGCGTCTGGACCCGAAATTTCATTTTTTTTGGCTCCCGCTCTCAATCGTATACTCCGCTCTCAATCAGGCGAAAACCCTGTTAAGCACAGCCAGCCATGTCTTCAATGCACACCCGCTGGCCAATTGGCGTGAACACGTATCCTGCGGCGAGGTGGATAGACTATAGGATATATGGTACTGCTGTCGCGAGCGTAAAATAATACCGTCGTTTTGCGGCGAAAAAGCTTCCGCGACCCTGTCGTTGGCAGGGTGATCGCAGGAAGAAAGACAACTTACACACGCACGAACTGGTCAAGATCGGGTTAATTGTACAATGGATGCATGGATGGATGTCTTCCGACGAAGAGAAGAGAGTAGAGTCATCAATCATGAAGTTGTCAAGTTGTTGGTGTGCGTGCAAAATGCGGCGGAACATACTTGCGCGTGCTCAATTCGGTGGAACAAGAGGGGAATCGGAGAACAGCTGTGACAACCCGCATGCCTTGGACTGATGGATCGCGTGTGTACCATGTCTGTCTTCGCTTCGCACGTATCCAAAGTGCGAGAAAGACGGGTTGGGAAGGAGAGAGATACACAAGCACGCCTGCAAATCGCTAGACTGATAGCTTCGATCTCTCTACGCGCGCGCATGCCTGCTGTACAACAAGAACAAATATTGTTACCCTCGAAACGCGGCGAATAGTCTATCGCGGGGCACACGACGTGACGAGATCAGGATAAACTACGAGTTCAGCATAAACTACAATGGATTGTTGATGTAGACTATCTGTTCCGCAATATTTTGTGGGCGCGCGTAGAACATTTTGAAACCGTCGTTTTGCGAAGAACATTCCTCGTCGGGAGGTTGCAGTGGTGTGGCCCGAACCTCTCGTTGGCAGGCAAATATGGTAGGCACACAGCGATTCCAGCGTCGAAGGACTTATCAATCCAGCTGTAGATTGGACGGGGCCTCAAATTGGTGGAGGATAGGCAACGTTTAGGCACAAATCGATCGAGATTGGAGCAACTTGGTGCCGGCAGCACCTGCTGCATGCTCGTGTTTCGTGCTTGAGCGCGCCGGTCATCGACACAGTCAACCGTCAACAACGCAACAGGCACCAATCAAGCTGAAACTTGCGGAAGGCTTCTAAAGCAATGCAGGACGGCCGATGGGGTGATCTCTCGCATCTCGGGCGTTCGGCTAAAAAAGTGCGTGGTTCAGGCTTTCGGATTAATAGTGATGCGAAAATCTGTGGGTAACCGCATATTTAACCGTCGAAACCGCAAGGGGGAACACTGAAAATGAAACGTGTCCCTTGCAATTAGGATAATCAATTTCTGTACACCTTTCTCAAAAATTCCCATACACCCAGGTGACAACAAAGAATTGGGAATCAATTTCCGCTGAACCAGAAATCCGCACTTCAAAGAGCCAGCCAGCGACGTCGCTGAGAGGAGCGCGCATGCAGTCATTCCGGTTTTAGCTCAGCCACCCACCTCTCTTGGATTGCGGAGCTAGCCGGCATTTCGGATCCAGCCGTTGTGCGATACTAATCATCTCCGATAGGACTTGAGGAGGACGGACTGTAAAGCTGTAGAGTATACTGCACTGCGTTTGCTCCTTGCTGCTGCTCTTGGCTGACCCAGGACTTCGAAAAATCCCCACAGGTACGAGCAAACTTTTTTGTGTGTGGTCGAAGATGGACTGCGCCTCTGCACAAGCCCAACATGCCACCATGCACAACATACTACTGCTGCCGTTCACCTGTCGCCGTCCTTCCACGTCTACCTGTCCATGACACATGCTGCCACTTGATGCGGCAACATCTGGGAACAACACGGACACAGGGAGTACCCCCGTACCCATACGCACAACCTCTCATTCCTCCCTTGTCAAACACAAATGATGTAACATGCATGAAATGATGAACTCTGTCTATAGTTACAAGTATGGTCCACGCTGCCTACAAATGGGAGAGGTAACCATACCTCCTGCCTACACACGGACGAGAGAGGTGAACACACCCACTGCATTTAACACACACCCACATGTCGGTTATGAAACCTCATCAACCACACGCCTCTATCGGCGACCACGTCATCAGGAGGCAATGATGAGAAATGTTCTCCCGTGCCCTTCTCACATTTAACATGAAATTCCACAACATAACATATATGAGACACACAAGACAGCTACCAAACTGATCTTTTGAGCCTGTCACCCGAGAGTTGTCCCTATATGCTGTCTAGGAAATCGTAGACATACAGGTAGTTTTCTCTGACCCTATGATTCCATTGTTAATCTGTCTCTGACTCTTTTCTATGATAGAGATGGCACATCAGCCGCACATACTCCGCACATATGCATACCAAACTGAGAATATGTTTGTAAACTGATGGAGATTGCATGTACTACAACTAATAGGGTGCGACACACAAAACGCCCGACTACCCAACAGTACCCAACACGTTTCGTCTGCACCTTCCCAACATAACATATATGAGACACACAAGACAGCTGCCAAACTGATTTGTTGAGCCTGTTACCTACAGGGGAGATGTCCCTATATGCTGTCTGGGAAATCGTAGACACACAGGTAGTTTCCTCTGACGCTATGATTCCATTGTTAATCTGTCTCTGACTCTTTTCTATGATAGAGATGGACTCGTTGTGTCATATTAAGAAAAAAATAAAAAAAAGTGATCAGTCATTCACATTTTTGTACCATTCTGTGAGATCTCTAGTCTAGAGACCGCCTTAGAGGAACCGGATCTGGAAGGAATAGTTTTTTTTCTTTGAAACATTATTTGATGTCGAACGAAGCGATTTTTGGGAGGGGGGCGCGTGCAGTCGGCACAACCAACACAAAAAAAGAGTTGCTTATGTGTAGTGGTTGACAACTGCGAAACCTGTGTTGAAGCCGTGTCCAGCGATTTGCAATATCGTTGTTCCCCCACTAAATAGAAGACTGTGACCATCATTACTCGGTTACTACAGCGGACACACGTCGAGACACTCGAAACCACATGGTGCTGGGCAAGTACGACAAATTCTCGAATGCACATGATTCAAACATGTTTTAGTGCTAGCGAAAGTACAAGACACGTTGTTGCTGCTACTCGTGATGATGAGTTGCCGCCGCGAACAAGTCGCCTGTCTCGACGGTCAGCAGGTTTTCGAACTTGCGCATGGCTTTTTCTCTTCCAGCGCTGCGCGCGCGGCTCATCAGAAGCATGTGGGCATCCCTGTCACCATGGAAGGCAAACAGGCAAGGTTGGGTACAAGACGACGGGGATGGGTGGCTACACACCCGCATTGGCCTATCTGCAAGGCGCTAGGTCACGCAAGACCGGAAAATGTTCTGTACCTCTCACGTTTCAATCCATTGCTTCCGGCAGGGCGACCGAGAACGTTAATGAACGCGACGGCACGCGATGAGAGGACTACCCATATTTCGGCATGTATTCAATAAACAGAGCCAACTATCATCCCAAAGGCCAAGTCTGCCGAGAAAGGAAGCACAAGCGAACAACACAACCTGGGGAGGGTGTATTCATAGACTATCGTATTCACGAATGAACCCCCCGTCATATTTTCGACCAGACCTTGCATATCAACAAAACCTGACACAGAAACGCACACCAGGGCTTCACTGGCGACGATCACACTGCGCGAAGGACGAGGTGGTTTGAGGTGTCTACCGAGGTGCCTAAAACGTGACCTGCATCCGAATATATTCGACTATTGTAGTTGTGCAGCGGACTCGGGCACTGCTGTCCTGCGGCCGACTTCTCGCAGAGGTTACCTGGTGTCGGTGAATGAGGTCGGAAGGGCTCTGCGTGCCAAAAGCCGTCCAAGGCTGGCAGCTTTAGCGGCAAGCGTCTGTCGAGCCTTTACCGCCGCCAGAAGAATCTCCATCTTTAATGGTTCGAGAACGCCGGAAATCGAGTTTGCGCAGGGCAGAGAAAGCGGAGCAATCGGGGCGTCAAATCACGGCCGCGATCGAATCGTTCCTCCGAGAACACGCAGAACAGATTACGTGCACAGAATGAAGATCTGATTTTTTTCTTACGCTTTTTGTGCTGAAGGCAAAGCCTACGGCTGGTAATCAACGTCAAGGGCCAAGGGTATGTGCTAATCGAAAAAACCGGCCTTCTTCCCATTTCAAAAGTGGCCATTGCCAGTTTTTGCGACGATGAAGGCCGACCGGATCATCACCATCAAGTAACTGAACCCTCGGCATTTTTTCACGTGTCTTGGTGGGACTCTCACTTAAGTTGACGTCCGACGGGCGGGTAATGGGATGGCCAAAAGAGACACCTCTCGGTTGTTGTCGAGACCAAATGACATGTGACCCACACGTGACGACGGCAATAGTCATGCGGACAACAAGCTCGAACTGAGATGCTTCACTATCAGGTAAACAGGTCTCGTTTCACACCACCCCCTCTACGCTAACTCCCCGCCAGGACCGAACACACCTCGCCCAGCTCGAAACCCTCGTCGTTGGTGACATCATCCACTATGTCCATATCCACCGAAAACTGTCCATCGCTGCCGTGATCATCGCTTTCACGCCCGTCATCTTCTTCGCCGCCGATGCACGCGTCCCCTCCTTCTCCATCGAGATCGTCACCTCGGTCTTTTTCCCCCGCCTGGCTCGGCGGTGACTCCGGTCCCACAACGATCGGGCTGACAGCAATAGCATTGTCATCGTCGTCGTCCTCGTTGGTCGGGCACACTCTGGCGTTCCCACCTGTGCCGGTGTTACCCTGCTTCTTTGCCCCGCCAGGACCAGCGCCGCCGCCGATCTTCAGGAATCTTGATGCCGCTTTCCGCGGAAGCCTCGGCAGTGGTGTCCCTTGTCTACCTGGAGGCGGCTGGCTCCCGCTCGGCCCTTTGGCATGCCTTCCTCGCCACGGCCACCACCGCTGACGCCGGCGCCGGCGCTGGCTCTTGGGCGTTTGAGGCGGTTGCCCTCCGGAATGCTTGCTTTCTTCCTGGAGAGGAACTCGCACCCGACCGGTCGCAGCCAACGTAGTCTGTGTTTCGTGGCCGCCATGAAGGACGTGCCGTCCATTTGTGTTTGTTCCGTTTTAAGGGAGGTAGAGGCAGGAGCGAGGTGAGTGCGCGAGGGTCGTGGATAAGCGGAGGTGGGCCCAGATGAGGTGCGGCGTCAGGAGCAACTCTGCGAACAGAGCTAGTTTCACCCTAACCTACCGTGCTGTATCATCCCACTCTTGATACACGGACGGTGGGTGTCTTTTATCTTCGCGCTTTCTGCCAGAGCTGTTGCTTGGTAATGTGCTTGTTTTCGTGTTGAGCATCTACTCGATCGTTTCCCGTGCTCATGGTAGGCGCGATCATACGGGCTGCCACATCATAGGGAGTAGATCGCACTTGACGATGGGTCACCGCTGTTTGCACTCTAACACGCTCACTGATTCTCACGTGCTGCCTTATGCGTTAGTCATAACGGTGCAGTACCTGAGGAATCCCCGCAAAAGAGAGCACGTGCACCGCTTCCGCCCTGCTTATCTCGCCGGGTACCCCGTCAGCCTTCACAAAAAACGAGACGAAAGAAAAAGAGACAAGAGCAAAGTTTTGTCAACAGAATAATCGCTGCCACCGAATTTCTGTGAGACGATCAAGCCAAGCGCGCCTGGGGTGTGTTCTACGCACCTCGCAAAGCGCAAAAGCGCGTCGGAGTTCATCCCGAGCAAGATTGTTCATCGCCGAGGCTATCCGCCTGCAGTTGGGACGAAAGTGATAGTCAAGAGAGTTGATGGTGGCTGTTAGGGACGTCCGTCGTAGGGTTATTGGGAGGCAGGCGTCGGCGTGGTTGTCGGGCGAAAATGTTTCGGTAGCTCTTCGTACTAACCACCAATCCCCCTGGCCGTTTTGCTTGCAACATTGTTGTAAAACAGCGCCGGAGCGCCCAGAGTAAGACCACGTGTCGAATGAGATGTGCTTGGAGTCATGCACCGATTGTACACGAGGGACGAGTCTCGGAACACCCTTGGACCATCAACCCCCCCCAAACGCCTCTGCATTTCTCCAACGGCGGATTGTTGATCTCACCTGATTGTCTTCACTCCAACCATGGATTTTCTCCACGGATCGACCGCCGCCGCTGTTCTGGCGGCCGTGTGCTGTTGTTGCTGCCGGCGTTGGTCTCTCACCGCTGCAGTGGTAGCCCTGAGCTCCTCGCGGCCTGCGGACGTCTTCAGGAATGACCGACATTCCGCGGCAGCCAATTCCTGTCAGACGCGTAGACAACCGTAAACGGTTGAGTGAACAAACTTACACGTTGGACACATACACGTAGCAACACCGACCTGTGTTGAACACGATGCTACTCAGCCCAAGCAAGCTGTTTCGCGTTCGTATATCCGAGACTTGCGTATTTTCATTGATCAGCCGAACATCAAGAAAATGTCGGCAAACCAAACACTTACGATACGCTTTCCTTGCGTGTCCTGTCTAGCCTCACTTCGTTTTTATTGTCAACCGGCTAGCGCGATTGATGCCGATCGCTGAAACACGCAAGTACACGCATACAGACAAAAAGCAGCGCATTCAATGTCCGCGGGGTTTTCTTTCCCGCTCCAGGTGGACTCTTTCATTGGCAAACCAGCTAGCGCGGTCGGTGCAAATTACGCAAACAAACACACACGTGCACACCTCGCCCTGTGCGAGCGCTCGGCCAAGCTTGGCGGCACCCATCGTCATAGCCCTGAGACGGTCCACGTCGGCCGGCGTAGCGCCTCCGGCTGATTCTATGCCTCGCTTCGTTTCTGCGGCCTCGGCTAGGCGCCAGGGCTCGCCATCCTCCAAGGCGATGGCGCGCGCAAGTTCATGCCTACCGAATGGGGGACGCGGGCAGCCAGTATCTCGATGGAATGCCTAGTCAACAGTGGCTTCAATACTCGAAGCAAGTTCATGCCCGGGCGTGGGGAGCGCTGTGGCACGTTAGTCGCACCCGGAGTCTGAATCTGGTAGTACGTTGAAAGACTGCTCGGAAGTGAACGTTAGGTTGAGTAGGTTATCAACCAAGGACAGGGTGCTACAGTTGTGAGCAGGAGGAATTTTACATTACCCAATTTGTAGGCAGACGGTTTCACGCACCTCTCGAAGGCCCTCCCTTCTGCTAGCATAGCCTGTTTGGCCAGCTTCCGGAAAGCGCCTGGCGTGAAGAACAGTTTCAACCTTAGTTTCGCGATGGTCGCGAGGTCCGCCCGGATCTGAGCCTTTGTCCGAGGTCGCCTCTCGCCTTCCGCAGCGCTTCCAGCTGAGTTGGCCAACGTCGAAGACGAGGGGCGATGCAGCGAAGCCAATACGTCTGCAAGGTCGACCCTTGTCGAGCAGAGAGAACGGAGCGGCAGGGTTAGCACGTCAAGTGAGGAGAGAGGTTGAAAGTGTTTCCCGTCAGCAGCACATGCGCGTTGTTTTTCGATAAATTGATGCAAGCAGGAGCGGCGTTGTTGGATAGTTCTTGTTCGTGTTTGGTTCGGCAAGGCCCCGGGAGGTTCTTGTCGAACGAACGAGCTTGGTCTGTGGGGAGGTACGCCATTTCAGAAACGAACAATAGTTCGACGGCACGGGGGGGAGAGCGGGGGCGTCGAGAGCGCTACCGAGTGCCGTCGAGAGCATGTGAGAAGGCGATCGGCGTCTTGCGAACACTTTTCCCAATACTTTTCTATCCCCCACGGTAGTAGAATGCTCTGTTTGAGGTGCTCGGCAGAGTATACTGTCTACGGGGCCTCCGGGGGGTACGCGGATGGAATGTATTGACAGACATGCTGCATGGCGATGGTGTGGCCTACCGCATGTCTCTTACTCTCTAAGCAACAAGGTCTTGAGTCAACCTTCTTTCTCTTTCGGCCTCTGACGAGCTACCGCACCCAAACACAATATATTGTAAGGCCTGGTGTTGGTAGTGGGTATTGGCGTCTGAGCGGTGGGAGCTGGGCCATCGGGGCAGCGGACACCATTTTCATAGCTGGGATCGCGGCCAAAGGGGGCGAGGACAGCAGTGCATAGCTAGTGCGGTGGCCATTGCGGGGACCGGGACAGCAGGGCGTATAGCTGGGACAGCACTTCGAGGCTGGGACAGCAGGGAGGGTTTAGAGTTTTAGTTTGATATGTCTGGAACGGAGGAGGACGCAACTCTGAGCGCGAGGTTGGATGAGGCGCTACGAGCTATAGAGGAGGCCAAGGCTGAGACGAAGGAGGCCAAAGCTGAGACGGAGGAGCTTAGGGCAGCACAG